GGCTGACAAACTGTTTCACCAAGTAAAACGTTAGTAATTAAAGTTAGGTGAGGGCTTTTATGCATGTCAGGAAACAAACAAAAACCAAAAAAAAGCTAAAAACTTTTAAAATCAAAAGATCGAGCCTGTTGAATGTGCCAAAGATTTCTGCATTTTGAAGGTTCTGTGGGAAATATTTTCTCAATAATTATCTGTAATCAGGTGAGTTTATGTAAATAAATAAAACAATTTAGAAGTGAGACAAAAAAAAAACAATGTTTTCTTCTCTGATCAGAACTTTTTTTTTAACATTTAGCTGCTTTTTATTCCTTAAAGCTGCTTAGACAAAGATTTATTCAGACAATCCTGCTGGTATCACTGTGAATGTTTCCAAAAAGCCTCTGAAGCTGTTTCTGCCTGATTTTATTCTAGTCAGTGAACGCATCACGCCTTCAGCTTTGCCGCTCGACGAGCAGAAGCCCCGCCTCCTGCCTTGGCGTGGAGAAACAAACGTAAGGACATTTTCTGTTCTAGCTGAGAAGAAAATGATCTGAACGGGACGGGAAGTTTTTCTGTATCTGAGCTCAAAACATTTCTGATCAAAACTTTTACTTTGATGTAAAATAAACTTTAATATTTGATGCTAGAATGAAGAGCGTAATTTCCTGTCTTCAAAAAGACCCCGTTGGTTTTGTTTAACCCTGGTATCTGGTCTGATCTGGTTCTGGTGGAGCTGGAGGGTCATTTCCTCCAAGGTTACACAGAGTTATTGGACCTGGCGGACGGATCAGTGGTTCTGCTTCTATTAAAAACACATCAGGACATCATGATGAATGTGTCATTTGAAGGTAAACCGTTTGACGGTGAGTTCACTGACCGTACGATCCTGCAGCGTTGGCTGAAAACCGTCTAATTATCACTCTGCTCTCCAACCTTCATCCTCCTGAATCCATAACTTTTCTTTTTCCTCTGGTAGGCTTTATTTTCTCGTTTGTCCGACGGGTTTTGGTGGTCCCGAACTGCAGGTGAACCTCTGACCACGGTGGGTGTTTTCAGTGTGGGTGGGCCGTCGGCGCTCCTCCATCTCTCCTTTTCCTCACTCCTCCTCCTTTTTTAGGTCTGTCGTTTTGACATTTAGGTCACAACAGAAAGGCTTTGCAATCAATAATATGTGTTTAAAAAAAACACTAAATCGGTTTAGAGAAACTACGAGCCGAAGCTAAAACTGAGCTGGTAAAGTTTAATAATACAGGACAGAAGATAAAATGAGCAACAGGCTAAAAACTGAAAGCAGCAGAACAGTTGCTAGAAACTAAACAGCAAGATAATAGCTAAAAGCTAAGAAAATCTAGAACAGGAAGTAAATATTAACAAAACAAATACTAAAATCAGCAAAACCAAAGCTAAAACTACCAGATGCTGAAGCTAAAATATGCAAACTAGTAGCTAGGAATAAACAAATGCTGAGCTTAAAATACACAGAGCAATAGTAAAATACGAAAAATACAACGAATTCTAAGTTAGCATATGTTCAAGCTAAGAATAGGAAAACAAATGGTAAAGCTAAAGACGTTAAAAGCAATGCTAAAGCTAGTAAACCAGAAGCTAAATTAGCAAAACAGTAGCTAACAAAAAGCATAACAAAACATTTGCTAAAATAGCTAAACAAGTTGTAAAACTAAAGACATTAAAAGCGATGCTAAAGCTAGTAACAGCAAATTTTATTTATTTTTTACTAAACCTTTATTTAACCAGATAAAAATCCATTGAGATCAAGACCTCTTTCATAAGGGTGACTTGGCCAAGATAGGCAGCAAAAAATTACAAAATAAACATTAAAACAGCCAACAATTTGATAATGAAAGACAGTGTTATGACAATCAAATACAATGAACAAATTTGGATTTAAAACACCGGCATTGTTGACATGATAATCATTGTCATTCTTTTAAAATTTTTGTAAAAGCACTCAGTGGAACGAATTCTGACAATTTTAGTTCAGCTGCAAGGCATTCCAAGCAAACGGGACAGAAGAACTAAAAGTTTTTCTTTCTCTTTTCAGTTCGTACACAAGGAACGTAGAGGTGGAAATGATCCTTGGAGCGCAAATCAGATGCTAAATTAGCAAAACAGCTAAAAAAGGCAAAACAAAACGTGTTGTAGCTAAAACAGCTGAAGAAGTGGTAAAGCTAAAATAATGAAAGGAATGCTAAAACTAATAACAGTAAACCAGATGCTAAATTACCAAATAATAATAATGATAATAATAATAATAATAATAATAATAATAATAGATAAAAGCAAAAAAGATGCCAAACTTAAAAAAGCAAAACAGTATTTGAAGGCAAAACATAGTAAAACAACAGTAAAAAATAGCAAATTGTAGCTAAAAGCTAAAATTATCAAACCTATAGCTCAAAGCTAAACTTAACAAATTGATAAGACTAAAGATTTTTAATCTTTTCACAGAACCCCACTTCAAAATAAGT